TCCCCTAGGTGCAACGACAGAAAAAAATACTACCACAACCACTGATGAGTCCTTATTCAGTGGAAATGATTATTTACTCACATAACTACTGGCTGGTATTCTGCTCAGAAGACATGTCAACAAACTCATCATTAGAAAGCTCCAAGCCCAATAGCTCTTCTTGCAAGAAAAGTAGAAATTGAAACATATGAAGCATTTCAGAAACAGTCCAAAACAAGGTATGGACTTTAATTTAGTGAGATAACAAGTTGCTACTGCAGAACTCCCCAAACAGACAAAAGTTGAGAATGTAGCAAAGAAGATAAAGAAGCACCAAGGCATACATACCTACTACTAGGCCAAACAATACAGAAGGGATATAATGTAAGAATAGTGCTGACTGCAACAATCATCTCATGTAAACTTACATTAAAAGGTGGCCATACAGAATTGAAAAGTTATTTATTTACTAAATTCAGAAGCTAGCAATACTGTGCTTCAATTCACACCAGATGAAAAAACGAGTCAGATACTCACTACAGATACTTAAGGAAATGCATATGAGAAATTCAATTGACAATGTGAAAGCACCATGTGGCGAATCAGTAATAGCTGCGACCACATTATATAAGAAGCCTCAACACTTAAAGCGGGGGAGTCGTCTCCTGCGCATGCGTCATAGCCATAGCGTGTCATTGTTTACAAACAAGCGTCTACCCATAAGCCTTTGCGTTTTTAGCGTGCGTTGTATCGTCGCTTGGGACTCATTTCCGCGCGTGCGCAGGTGACGACCCTCCCGCTATTAAATACTATGTAGAGAATAAAGTATAGCGTAGTTAAAACAATTACTTACAAAAAGCAACTGCATAATTATGTTTAAAGAGAATAGTATGTAACAAGATGTTGTATTTGAACTATGACCTGATGACATGAATATGTATTATTAGCTTGTGTACACGTGTGTTAGTGGTGGTGGTGCCCAGTCAACATGATTTGAAGTGTACAGTACAAATAATTATAGAATGTGGCATGCTGAGAATATTG